TTTCCTGAGGTAGTTTTTTTTTCAGGACCCAGTTGATGACTATAGACAGACAGACAGACAGACAGACAGACAGACAGACAGACAGACTGACTGACAGACTGACTGACTGACTGACTGACTGACTGACTGACTGACTGACTGACTGACTGACTGACTGACTGACGACTGACTGACTGACTGACTGACGACTAACTGACTGACGACTGACTGACTGATGACTGACTGACTCTTTTCCCCCTCTAGAAGATTATTTCTCTCACAGTTGGGATTCAAACTTTTCTATGTTTGTTGTTCTTCCAGCAGATCAGGAAAGTTATGCCGGAGGAGCGCCCTACAAATGCACCATGTGTGGTAAACATTTTGCTGAAAGTATGACCCTTACACTTCATGAGAAGGTCCACAATGCAAACAAATGTTTCCGAAATGAAGTTTCTGGAGAAGGTTATGACAGAAAACCTGAACTTCTCAGCCACCAGAGAATCAGAAGTGGAGGAAGAACATGCCAACTTGGGAAATGTTTTGCCAACAAATGCTTCCTTCAGTTGGACACAGGAGAGAACATATTCAAATGCCACAAATGTGACAGATCTTTTAATCACAATTCAACCCTTCAGGTACACCAGAGACTCCACACAGGAGAGAAACCATTTAAGTGTCATGAGTGTGGGAAATGTTTTTCTCACAATTCTAACCTTCTGAAACACAAGATAGTTCACACAGGAGAGAAACCATACAAATGCCAGGAGTGTGGAAAATCTTTTAATCACAGTTCAAACCTTCTAACACACCGGAAAGTCCACACTGGAGAGAAACCATACAAATGCTGGGAGTGTGGGAAATGTTTTACTCAGAATTCACATCTTCTTGAACACCAGCGTGTCCACACAGGGGAGAAACCATACAAATGCCAGGAGTGTGGAAAATGTTATGGAAACAATTCAACCCTTCATGTTCACCAGAGAATCCACACAGGAGAGAAACCATACAAATGCCAGAAGTGTGGAAAATCTTTTAATCGTAATTCAAACCTTCTGACACATCAGGGAGTCCACACAGGAGAGAAACCGTACAAATGCCGGGAGTGTGGGAAATGTTTTACTCAGAATTCACACCTTCTTGAACACCAGCGTGTCCACACGGGAGAGAAACCATACAAATGCCATGAATGTGGAAAATGTTATGGAAACAATTCAACCCTTCTTATACATCAGAGAGTCCACACCGGAGAGAAACCATACAAATGCCAAGAATGTGGCAAATCTTTTAATCGCAATTCAAATCTTCTTGTACACCAGAGAGTCCACACAGGAGAAAAACCATACAAATGCCAAGAGTGTGGAAAATCTTTTAATCGGAATTCAAATCTTTTGACACATGAGAGACTCCATACAGGAGAGAAACCATTCAAGTGCCAGGAGTGTGGAAAACGTTTCACTCGGAATTCACATCTTCTTATACACCAAAGAGTTCACACTGGAGAAACACTATAGAAATTCTAGGAGTGTGGGAGATATTTTGATAAAAGATCAAACTGTAGGAGGTATCAGAGAGAAATGATCCAAAAGCCAAGAATGTTGGAAATGCTATTCTCACAATTCCACCTTTCTGAATGAAAGGAGAGTCCACACTTGAAAAAAATGATGCAAATACCAGGAGTGTGGGAAGTGTTTTACTTAAAATTCACACCGTTTGGGATAACAGAGAGTCTACACAACGGAGAGATCATACAACTGCAAGTGATTCAGACATCTTATTTCTGAGTTAGACTCCAGGAGGCATCAGGGAGTCCACACTGGAGAGAAACCACACAAATGCTTTTGTGTGTGGGAAATGTTTTCTCACAAATCATATTTTGTGATTTGTCACAAAGTGTAGACAGGGAAAGCTACATAGGAGAGTGATTGCTGATGTTCTTTGAGCTCTCCCACAATTCATGGGAAGATTATGTCTTGGTGGCTGAAACTATCTTTTATGCCATGGAGATCCCATCCAGCAGTAAAGTTTAAATTCCTCCAGTTACTCTACAGTCAGAGTTGTTAATAGATGGAGCCTTAGAGAAATCATTATTGTTTTGATCTTTTCCATGTATACTGTTATTTTTTCTCTCTCTTTCTTTAGAGTGGAGATTAGGGCACAATCTCCTTGCCCATCTCCAGAGGATGGGGAATAGCAGGCCTAATTGAGATGTGTGCCTTCTGACTTGTCTTGCTTATTCTTCATGCAAATGTTATTTCTGCTTTTGGTTTGTCATAATCAGAAAATTATTAGGAAGTTACTTGCATTTCTTCCTGGAGTAGACAGCAACAATGAAGTTTGAATGGGCACCTTGAAATGAAAGCCGATTCTGTCGTGTGTTGGCCCTCTTTCTTTCAGAGTCGTACTCGCACAGCAGTTCTCCACTCTCTGCCTCTTGGGATGCTTCCTCCTTGTGTCTAATGATATGGCTGGCCCAACTGCATGCTCTGTTGTGAGCAGCTGGGAAGCATTTGTTTAGCACTCGGCACCTCCACTGTTATTCTCTGAATACATGGTTGCCACTGAACTATAACAAGGCATATACATGTACATTTTCACTGTATATTCCATGGGGGAGAGATCTGTCTCTTCTATCTTGTTAAGAACACGGAATGCATTTTGAAAGTTGGCAATACCAGCTGTGTACACCTTTCCTGCTCCTGTGGAGTTAGTCTTTCTGGGAGTATTGCAAGTGCATTGAACATGGCAACTGTTTCTAAATTGAAGCCAGAGAAGAGAAGCAGCGCTCTTCAACTGGTGCAACATGCGGCAGCGAGGCTCCTAAGTGGCACACGGTCCCGTGATCACAGGGCCCGAAGGTTTGTAAGATCTCCACTGGCTTCTCATTGCATACTCGGCCCAATTCAAGGTGTTAGCGTTAAATTTTGAAGCCCTCATTGGCTTGGGGTCAGTCCTTTAATGAGCCTGTTTAGATCTTCAGGAGGGGTCCTTTAAAAATTACTAACAGTCCCCTACTGAGATCAGATGTTGCAAAGACGAGTCATGTACTGAATATTTTTCTAATGAAACATCTTTATTTGGTAACAAAGGGTCTTGGTCTTTTTTAAACAGAAGTAACTGCCTTTTGTTTCAGCGGCGCCTCATAACTTTTTTCATTATCGAACTCTAACAGGTTTCCCTTCAATGTAAGAGGTGAAGAACTCCAAACGTGGTCTTGCCATTTAACCGATGAGCCCGGGATCTCCAATGTCACTAAACTTGTTATTATTGGGGAGGGGGGGAGTGAAAGATCCATCCCACCTGGGGCTCCCAGACCTTTGTGCCCGGGTTTTGCCTCAAGTTGGGATGAAAGGGACTGGTCCCATGGGGCTTCCCAGGATTCTCTGAATTCTGTCTTCGTTCTCTCTGTTGCGCCTCCTGTTGCTTCCAGACTTTCAGTTGTTTTCTTTTCTCCCTTTCCTCGGTTTCTCCACAATAAGGTGGCTTTCGGTATACTTGCCTTTTCCACTCTGTCTCTCTGCAGATTCTCTGTGTATTTTAAACTCTACCCATTCCCCTGCCAAGGGATCTTCTTCCACTAGCTCTACTAACTCTTCTTTTCCATTCCTCTGTCCAACACGCCTCCCTTTTTCTGTATCCAGTAGAGCCCCTCCTTTTCTTCCCTTCCCTTTTTATTCTCCTCCTTTCCCGCCAAAATAGCGCCCTATGCCGTCTCTTTCCCTACACATAAGTTTTGCAAGTCCTCTATCACGCCCCTCAGGTGTCCCTCAGTGTTTCTTTTTGAAGAGACCAAAGGTACACTCTGGGAAGTACCTCTGGAGGTGGTCCCAGCCTCAGTCAATATCAGAACAATCATGCTGGGACTCTCGAGCACTCCAGGGGTGAACTTTTCAAGGATCCTGGTTTGCCCCTTTCGGACCTAGAGCAGGAGAAATGGCTAATGGCAATACAGTAATAACGGTATTTTAAAAATGGAGCCCATATTGGTCATAATCAGGAATGGTATTTTGGAGCAGTTGCACCTCGAGGAGTTTGGTGGGAGGCAGACTAGGACTTGGGGGGGCGGCTATCCACCTCTGCAGGCAGTTCTGTGCATAGGAGAGGGTCCTCCTTGAGGGAGGTGGGCATCCAGTCCTACCCCAAGCAAGGAATTCCTATTCCTGTAGGGATTCATCTGGATGTGCCTGGCTTGGTTAAACCCTTCACAATTCCCAGCATATTGATTTCAGTCACTGGAGAGGAAGTAAGTAGGACAGGAGATGGTCAGCCAATGAATGAATGAATGAATGAATGATAGCATTAAATTAAAGGAAATCCTGGACGGCTGAAAAGGATTCGTCCAAAGTCTTGGAAATGGAGGAGGAGGTTGATGAGAAGGTTGAGTGAGAGTTGGACGAAATGGAATTGGGGGTCAAGAAAAAAAATTGGGAACAAAAGCAACAGCAGTTCAATAATCATCTGGATCACTGGTTCCATTGTCGTACTGCTCTAACATCCCGGGAATCCCCCCGGAGCCCTTCCCTCCAAGCCAAGAGGGGGTACGAGACCTTAGCGCCAGAGAGGCCAAAACGTGATGGCCGTGGGATGAGTGCACGTTCTATCGAAGGGTTAAACGCATAGAGTTGTTTCCTAGACGGGAAGGAAACGGGTGGACCGGAATGGGAAGGTCCTCCGCACTAAGAGTCCCTCAATATAAAGTCCCATCCTGTGTCCTCCTTTTCTCCCTCCGGAAGGAAACGGGAGCCTTCGGCTCCTCCAAGGGCTGCCTCGCCCTGCAGGGATCCTCCGGCACGATCGATTCCCACCAGGGTGGGCTGGAGGGTGAGTCCGGCTCAGGGGGGTTCAGGGGAGGATGTGGCGGGGAATCGGAGAGGATACAGGAAAGAGAGACCCGCCCCAATTAGGGAGGATGAAAGGGCCTTGAAGAGAGCAGCGGTGGCCCAAGAGATTTTGCTGCCTGAAGCAATGGGCCACGTGGTTCTCTCTCTCCCCCCCCCTCCTTTCCTGAGCGCCAGCATCTCCTCCGTGGCTCTGATGGGGAAGCAGGTTTGATTTCTGTTTTTAATTTGGGAGATTCGGGAAGGGCCGAGGATGCACCTCCCTTCCCTGCCCCAGCCGAGGAGGAAGACCAGAGGGAGAAGTTTCCCCAGCGGATGATGCCGAAAGGGCCTTGTTTGGCTCTTTCCTAAAAGTCACGGTGACCGTACATTGCAGAGGAGGCCGAAAGAAAAGGAAGAGGAAAGGATCGAACCCCCCCCCCTTCCCGAGAAGACATTTTTTCCTGGAAAGATCTTGGCAGTCCTTAGAATCATGGAGTCGGGAGGAAACTCGAAGGCCATCCAGCCCAAGAAACAATCCCCCTTGCTCAATGCAGGAATCCGAATCAAAGCAGATCTGACAAAAGATGACAGTCCAATTTTCTCTTGAATGCCTCCAGCATTGGAGCGCTCGCCACTTCCCGAGGTCGTGGATTTCATCGTCCCACTGCTCTAGCAGTTAAAAAGTTTTCCCTGACATTCAGCCTAAAATCTGGCTTCCGTGCCATCATATCTCTACTCAGCCTTCTTTTCTCAAAGCTAAACATGCCCGGTTCTTTTTTTGCAGGGACTTTGGTTTCCAGTCCCCAATCATCCTTGTTCCCCTCCTCTGGACTTGCTCCACTTTCTTGGCATACTTGCAATGTCCAGAACTGGACATGGTACTCAAGATGATGCCTAACCCATGCTGAATAGAGGGGGGAATAATACGTGATCATGGGAGAAATGCTCTTCAAAATATTAAAGGTTTAGGTTTATTTTGTGCTCAGACTTTTCCCTTCAGGCAGGTTTTCCCTTCGTGACTGGCTGTCTGATGGAGAGGTTTTTAAATGGATTGTTGTGACTTGTTGCTTTTTAATATGTTTTTAGTACTGATTTGGTTTCCCATTTAAAAATAGTATTTCTTTAATTCTGTTTAGGTATTTGTACTCTTTTTAGCTTTTAAATGTTGTTTTTTTATAATGATGTAAGCCGCTGTGAATGCTGCTTTTGAAGGAGAAAGGTGTGGTTAAAATATTTTAAATAAATAAAAGAGAATTCAAGAGTGTTGTTCTTTGATTCCAGTGGAGGTTTCCTTGCAGCACGGTTTGAAGATGGAGAAAGAAGACTCGGCTGGCGCTGGAGTACAAAGTGACCCCCGTAGGATGCAGAGTGGAAGGAGTGGGGAATCATGGGAAAGAAAGAGCCAGGATATCCTGGATGGACACATCATCAGCTCACAGGAGCAGTGTCAGCGCTTCAGACAATTCACCTACAAGGAGGCGGAGGGCCCCCGAGAAGCTTGCACCCAACTCCACCATCTCTGCCATCAGTGGCTGAAGCCAGAAAAGCACACGAATATTCAGATCCTGGACCTGGTGATCCTGGAGCAGTTCCTGGCCATCCTTCCCCCGGTGATGTCCAGCTGGGTGAGGGAATGTGGAGCGGAGACCAGTTCCCAGGCGGTGGCCCTGGCCGAAGGCTTCCTCCTGAGTCAGGCCGAGGAGAAGAGGCAGGAAGAGCAGCAGGTGAGAGAGCATTTCCTCCAGGTAACTGTGATGCCCAGGTGGGGAGCCTATGGCCTCTGGACTCCAGGCACAGGGGAATATACGCCCTCACTTTCAGAGATTGTTGGGAAAAAATCTTCAAACTTTCTTCCCATTGTCATTGGATGGATGTCCATTTTCCCACATGTCCGAATTTCGCCTGCCAAGATTTCTGACTATCCTTTTTCTTTTCCTTTTCCAAATTCCATGGCCTCGGTCCTCAACTGCTCAGATCAAACCCCTCGCAGCAGAATTTCAGAGTGATTTCATTGGTACAGAGAAGACCCCATTGGACAGGAGGCAGAGTATGCTCCCAAGAGGGGAGGAACATGATGATGATGATGATGGAGATGCCCCCTTGAAGGGTAAGGATTCCTGCTGGGAGTGGGTGTATGTTTCTCCTGGATGTTTTTCTCTATAGCAGGGGTCTCCAAACTTTTTACCCTGAGGGTGTGTACTAAGATCTGGCTGTCAGTTTTTTGTTTGTCACCTCCTTGGCCTGTGGAGGGAAGCTTTTGTTTAGATCAGTTACGATCAGTGGGACACTGAGTCGAGGAGGCGACAAAGGGGGGGAGGAGGATCATCTTTTATATTTAGGGTGTTTTGCAACAGTAACAGTACTGTCAGTTTTTTGTTTGTCACCTCCTTGGCCTGTGGAGGGAAGCTTTTGTTTAGATCAGTTACGATCGGTGGCACACTGAGCTGAGGAGGTGACAAAGAGGGGAGGGAGGAGGATCATCTTTTATATTTAGGGTGTTTTGCAACAGTAACGGCACATCCAGAGAGATATAGGGGAGCTTTAGAACCACGGCACCTCCAATAATAGGTTAAAGACCTCAATGTTGTTGTTGCTGTTTAGTCGTTTAGTCGTGTCCGACTCTTCGTGACCCCATAGACCAGAGCATGCCAGGCCCTCCTGTCTGCTGCTGACTCCTGTAGTTGTGTCAAATTCATGTTGGTTGCTTTGCAGACACTGTCCACCCATCTCACCCTCTGTCGTCCCCTTCTCCTCTTCCCTTCACACTTTCCAAACATCAGGGTCTTTTCCAGGGAGTCCTCTCTTCTCATGAGATGGCCAAAGTATTGGAGCCTCAGCTTCAGGAGCTGTCCTTCCAGTGAGCACTCAGAGTTGATTTCCTTTAGAATGGATAGGTTTGTTCTCCTTGCAGTCCAGGGGACTCTCAAGAGCCTCCTCCAGCACCACAATTCAAAAGCATCAATTCTTCGGCGGTCAGCCTTCTTTATGGTCCAGCTCTCACTTCCATACATCACTACAGGAAAAACCATAGCTTTGACTACGCACTTTTGTTGGCAATGCGATGTCTCTTTTTAAGATGCTATTGAGGTTTGTCATTGCTTTCCTCCCAAGAAGCAGGGGTATTTTAATTTCGTGGCTGCTGTTGTTCTAATTAATCAGTGTTCTTAAGGTTGTTATTTCAATAAGTGAGATTAGTTGATGCGTCAGTTTTTGTCTGTTCTCCAGGGGCTGGAAGGCTATGTGGAAGAAGCGGTCCTTCATCTCTTCTTCCCTGCGATGGAGAGGAATTGGATAAGGTAGGAGAGCAAAGCCTTTCTGAGACGATTGTTTCCTTCTCTTTTCCGCCGGGGAAGCAAAGAACACAAAGAGTGTCTTGCTGGGGCAGCCCAAAGGCCTGCTTTAGCCCCTCATCCTTCTTCCAACAGTGGCTCACTTGGGATCTGAAGCAGAGAAGGAAATGTGTATTTCTTCAAGGCCATTGTTGCAAACCCTTCGACTGCCCCAACCTGCCAAAATTTCAAACTCCACCATCATCAAAGCAGCTTTTTCCCAGTTTTGGAGACTTCCAGAAGCAGCAGTTTTTAAGATTTCCAGTTCTTCCCCAATCTGGTTAAACAAAGAAAAAAGGGAACAAACATGTGCTATCTGGTTGTGTCTTGTTTCTGTTCTTTATATAATTCCTTGGTTTTTTTTTACATTCTTGAGTGGCCCCAATTGGCCACTTCTAGCCCTGGTCCTATCCAGAAGTAAAATCTTCCCCTCCATCCCTCAAGATCTCTCCCCCTCTCTTATGGGGATTCTGGGAAGTGGACTTGAAGGAGAGAGCTCTCTCCCTCTTGTGTTCATTCACGAAGAAGTGGAATTAAGAGGCATGTGGCCTCTGTCCTGGAAGGAGTGTTGGTTCCATTGGAATTCCTAGTAACAGGAACTTCCTGTTGGAAAATTATGAATTCCATTCTTGGAAGTCAGAGTCCTGCAGCATAAATCCCTGTCCTCTCATCTTAACTTTACTTCACAAATTAGACCAGAATTGTAAGCAGAAAATCTTTTATTTTCCTCCAGGATCTGGTAACCTTTGAGGAGGTGGCTGTGAATTTCACCCAGGAGGAATGGGTACTGCTGGATCCAGACCAGAGATTCCTCCACAGGGAAGTCATGGAGGAGAATCGTTCGATCGTGGCCTCTTTTGGTAAGACCTCCTCTCTTCTAGCTTCACACTAGGTGGAGGAACAGTACTATTAACTTTATTGTTTTTTGTGAGGAATCCTTTAAGCGAGTGATTCCCCAACTTTGGGTCCCCAGGTGTTCTTGGACTTCAACTCCCAGAAATCTTGGCCAGCAGAGGTGGTGGTGAAGGCTTCAGGGAGTTGTAGTCCAAGAACATCTAGAGGCCCAAGGTTGGGGACCACTGCTTTAAGCAGTGCTGTGGAACTCCTAGGGTTTTTCCATCATTGCTGAATTCTATCAGCCTTTGACAGCCTGGGCAATCATAGAGAAGTGAAGTTGGAAGGGGCCTACAAGGCTGTCAAGTCCAACCCCCTGCTCAGTGCAGGAACACGCAAGCATATCTGCCAGATGCTTATCTATGTTTTTCTTGAATGCCTCCACTCTCCAACGCCCAAGGTAACTGGTTCCACTGTCGTAGTGCTCTAACAGTTAGGAAGTTTTTCCTGATATTCAACCGAATTCTGGCATCCTTTAACTTGAGCCCATTGTTTATTTATGTTATTTATTTATTTATGTTATTTATTTTATATCCCACCTATCTGGTCAGTTAAGACCACTCTAGGCGGCTGTTGTGTGTCCTGCACTCTAGGATGATTGAGAACAGATCCTTCAATGGTGAGGCATAAGGGGGATTTTTAAAAAGATGTTACCCAATTATGAAAGTGATTTCTTAAATAAAAATTTAATTTTGATTTACGGTAGTACCTTGGTTTATGAATTTAATGCGTTCTATGGGACGTTACGTAAGGCGAAAAATTCGTAAATCAAAACGCAGATTGCCATAGGAATGGGGAGGCGGCGCTATAAACCTCCAGGTACAATGCATCCTGGGGAAAAAACGTAAACCAAGGCATTATTTTCAATGGATTTCCTTTCGTAAACTGAAAATTACATTAACTGAGGCGTTTGTAAACCGAGGTACTACTGTATTGCAAGGAAGCCATGAGGCTTCCTGAACCTCTTGCTTATAGGAGGTCCTTAATGCAGGGCTGAGGAACTCCTGGGGGCCTCCCAGAATGGCTGGATTCCAAATCGCACCAGTCCTGGCCAGCCTGCCCAAGGGTGAAGCACAATGAGAAGCAGAGCCCACCTTCATCAAGGGCGCAAAAGTTCGCCAGCCCTGCATCAGGACATTCTGGAGAGGTGCAGCTTGAGGTTGGGAAAGGGGTTTTCATCTTGACAGCATGACCTGGAGGATGTTCCTTCACAGCCTGTGTGATGATGGATGGCAGGAAAGGATTAAATTAAGGGGAAAAGAAAGAAAAAAAGCCCCCTTGCCATGTTAAGTGGAAGGTTTAATGAGGGTGACACAGAGCAGGAAAAAGTTACTTTTTTTAGTAGCAGGAACTTCATAGTATTCCTTAAAACCTCTAGATAACTGTTGCTGTGGTGTTACTATTTTCTTATCTTTTGCCTGTATCTCTTCTTCGTGGTCCTCCTTTTTTTTCATATGATAGCAATTTAGAGTTTTAAATTCCATATTCATAACAGTTCCTTTTTTTAGAGCTCCTTGAGGTTTCATTGTATCTAAGGCTTCCAGTTCTGCTTTAGTTTTTATCAATTCAATATACAGTGGTGCCCCGCATAGTGACGATAATCCGTTCCGGATAAATCGTCGCTATCCGGAAACGTCGCTATACGGAGCAAAAACCCCCATAGGAACACATGAAACTCCGTTTCATGCGTTCCTATGGGGACAAAACTCACCGCTAAGCGGAAATCCTCAATCCGGCCGCCATTTTCGCTGCCTCAGTAAGCGAAGAATCGGCGCAAAAACGCTGCAGGTGGCCATTTTCTTCATCTGGCGGCCATTTTGGAACCACCGATCAGCTGTTCTGAAAACATCGCAATGCGAAGAT